GCTTTACGGAACAGCAGGTATGGAATGCCTTGAAAAGAATAAAGAGGACAGCAACAGGTCCCGATTATATTCCCTATTGGGTTTGAAATAATCATGCGGAAATTCTAACCGAAGTTATAACTAACGTCTGGAATTTGTCCCTTTCATCACATACTTGGCCAGATTCATGGAAAAGAGCGAATATTAACCCTCTTGCAAAGGTTGATTTACCAAAGGAAGATGGTGACTTTCGTGGAATAAATATTACACCTGTAATTGCGAGGACCTTCGAAAAGCTCGTTTATAATAGTCAGGTCAAGTCGACAGTTGAGGAAATTTTATCCCCAACGCAATTTGCGTACAGGCAGGGGGGGAGTTGTACAAACGCTCTGTTAACTATTCAGAACAAAGTACTCAGCTTCTTAGATAGAGCGGACTGCAAAGCAGTTAGACTGTTTTCTATGGATTTTAGCAAGGCTTTCGACTCAGTGCAACATTCACTCCTCTCGGAAAAGTTAAAAACTGTGCCACTCAACCCTTATATCATAAATTGGTATTTAAATTTTCTAAAGAATAGAAAGCAAAGAGTCGTTTGTAACGATTTTTGTGGAGAATGGATGGATGTTAATAAGGGTACAACACAGGGGAGCGTAAGTGGCCCCTACCTTTTTAATATTTTCCTAAATGATTTAGAGGTGGACATAGACGGCGAGAACGCTCTTTTTAAATATGCGGACGATTCAAATATAATAGTGCCAGTTTGGAGTGAGGGTCCTGATACATCAACAGATACAGTTGGACAATTCCTGAGCCGGTCTGATGATAATTCTATGACTTGTAACCCTGGTAAATGTAAAGAGCTTATCATCCGGAAGAAGGGATATAATGATCAACTTGACAATGTTTATAATATACCCCAATGCAAAGAACTTCCCATTTTAGGTACTACTTTTCAAGACAATCTCAAGTTCACCAGTCATGTGCGAGGCAAATTGGTCAAAGCAAACAAATGCTTGTACGTTATACGAACACTCAGGGCAGAAGGCTATAGCCAATGTGAGATAGATTATCTATTTAAGACCCTAGTAATATCTACTATAACGTTTGGCCTGTCCGTCTACGGTTCTTCTCCAGCCGAGCTCAATACTCTACAACGGTTTTTTGACAGATGTTTTAAGCGAAAGTATATATCGGAACCTGTAAATATTAGATATCTTTTAGAAATACAAGACAGAAATATTTTTAAGGCTTCTGTAAATCAGAAGAGTGCCATAGTCGACTTGATACCAAGAAAAAAATCCACAAGCTACTCTTTGAGGACAGAGTTTAGTCAGTATCGGTCAGTATCCAAGAGTGAACACGGAACGTTTTAAATTGTCGTTTGCAAATAGATTAATTTTTAACTATAACCTATTCATATGATGTAAACTTTACTAATGTATTCTTAATATATACTTGTAACATAAGATATGTATTTTTATCTTTTGATCTATTAAAAAGACTTTTGAATTGAATTGAATTGAATTGAATTACTCAGCTGGGTGTGCTTTCTATCTACTTTCAACCCTGCCTGAGCCTCTTTAATCCATATGTACTCTGCCTTAACCAACTCATTCACTGTCAACTCTCCACTTTCCCTATCAATGCCCCTTGCTTTTGCTTGTACATTAAACCCAAACCTAAGTACCCAAGCCTTTACTCTAAAAAGTCCTTCCGCTGTCCATAATCATTCAAGTCAATCACTCTACTTACACTAGATGGCTCTGTCACCTCTACAACCATTACTACAGACTTTCGGTCCTCTTCCAAAACTGTTTTTGTCTTATCAGTAGCCTCAAATTTTGGTCACTCCTCTTTGGACGTAGTTAGCCAATCTGGCCCCACCCACCATAGCTTGTTATCTTTCAATTGTGAAGCAATTACATCTCTAGACCAAATGTCAGCAGGATTTTCAACCCCGGGACAATGCCCCCAATCCCCTTTGTTCGTTAGCTTCAAGATCTCATTTACTCGGTGGTGGAAAAATTGTTTCCATTCACCCTTGTTCATTATCCAATAGAGTGCTGTCATGCTGTCAAGCCAAAACTTGGTATTATCTATCCTAACCTGGTTTTCAAGTGACGCTTTTACGTACTGACTTCATAATTTGCACTAAGAGCCTCGCTGACATTAACTCTAACCTGGGAATACTAGTTGTTTTTAAGGGACCTACTCTTGCCTTTGATGTCAATAAGGGGACATAAACCCCTACATTAGTACGATACACAAAATGTACAACTGCACAGTATGCCTTCTTGCTCGCATTGCCAAATCTATGCAAGGTACACTCCAAAACATCTTATGCACGATGTTGATATATACAGCGAGGAATGGTAATTTCCTTAGTTTCTATCAAATCCCTGAACTAACCCTCACACTTATGCAGTAACTCCTCAGTGAAGTTTTCATCCCAATCAACTTTATCCTTACATACTTCTTGGAACAATATTTTGGCACATACAATCACTGGATTAACTACTCCGAGAGGATCAAATAAACTTGCTAAAACGCTCAGTAGAGTTCGCTTTGTAGGTGATAAGGTTTCTGCCCTTTCCCCCACCTTCGCAATCTCAAACTTCAACTCATCGCTTTTGTTATCCCATGCCTGTCCTAACACTTTATGGCATTTTGATTCACATCTTGTTACTCCAAGGGATAGTTTTGCATAAGATTGATGATCGTCAACAATGTGTTTTGTCTCACATTGGTCTGTCTCATGCACCTTAATTGTAATTTCCAATAATTGTACTTTTCGTCTACATAGAAACTTTCTAGCACCCTCTTCACAAACTCAGGATCTGTTTCAAGATACTTTGAGACATGATGCCTTAATGTTGCATTGAGTAAGAACGGAGATGCATTCAATCCAAATATTACTCTACAAAATCTATAAACAACTGTTTCCCACTTATCACTGTCAATATCCTTTACCCACAAAAACCTCAAACAATTTCGATCTGCCTCATCAACCCACAGGGGGCAGAAAAGTACGATTGTGTTTTATAAATACCTTGTCATCAACGAATATCCCATATTTATATCACAACAATCCGCAGACATAGTCATAAAAGGATCAAAATTAGCTGATTTTTATTTTTTCGATAATATCATGCCTTCTACTTCATGTAATTCAAACATATTGCATTGCAACGACTATTTCCGAACATCTTACGAAAGGATTCCGAGGGTGTAACCCGTACATAAATAAGAAAGGGATGAAACGCCGAAAATCTTTCGTTCAATGTGCACCGCAACAGCTGGTGACGGAAGTAAATTCGACATTGTAACCGGAAGTAGAACGGAAGTTGAAGGAAAATTGACCTATCATCTTCCATGACCTTTTAATCGAATTAACGGTTAATAATTTGAATGACAATAACAAATTTTAAAAAATATTGCGAAATTCAAACTCAAATTAGTCAAATATTAATATGGAACGTTTTGTCAACTAAAAGAAATGCGAATAACTCGATTCAAAAGCAACACACGCTCTTGTATCTAGATGGTATAAAGCTTTTCAATAATTTAAAACAATTGTTCTTGAATCGATCAACCGTACGTGAATATATCCACGACTTTGAATTTTGTTTAATATGACTGTGTAAATCCAAACGGCAGTCTTTACAAAACCGGTCACGATTTAAACTCGTCTTCGCCGTGTGTGCAGACTTAAGATATATCAATAGACTATTTAAATTCAAAAATAAACTATACATGCACTTATGGGGCGAAAAAAATGGCAGTAAATTTAAATAAACTCTGAAACGGTTTCGTTAATTCGGTTAATATAGACTTTGTAGTATAAATACCGGTGCATTTTGGCTTGTATTTCGTAGGCTTTGTATGAATTATCAAATAAGTGACAATTCTTTCAATAAGTGACAATTCAATTCAAGGAGAATTCAATTCAGCGACAATTCAATGAGTGACAATTTATATGAGCATATTTATATGAGCGTTATTTTGAAACTGTATACTAATCATAAAAATACTGTATGACCTTGTCATATATTTAATATATATGATTAATAATATAAATCAGTTGAAAAAATAGTTTTCGTCATGCGCAATATCTTTCAAGTGCGTAACTACGTCACTTCCGTCACCACCTGTTGCGGTGCACGTTGAAACAAAATAAGCCAAAATTGTTGTCCCAAAAATTTCGGTATAATAACCGTTTCTAAAAATTTCCTTGTACAGGTATGCTAAGTGTATCATATCTAAACTGTATACAAAAAATAAAAGGTTTTGGCTCAGAAACACGCCAGTTATATCCATTCGAAATATTTCGCGATCGGGGGTTTCATCCCTTTCTATTATTTGTACGTGTAAGCAAAGTCAATCGTTCTAGTATGAGCCCACGCTACTATGGTCAGTCATGGTAATACAATGTTTGATTTACATGAAGTAGTAGACATGATATTATCGAAAATCAACATAATTTTCATCGTGATGAAACCTGGATGAAACTATGCGATATATTGGTTGATGACAAGGTATTTTAAATAAACACAATCGTACTTTTCTGCCCCCTGTGATCAACCTCCACATTCAAAAAAGCCTTTTCAATATCGCCTACTAAACTAGCGATCCTGTTTTCTCTAAACTGTATCAATATGCTATATGGTAATGGATTGAGGGATAGCCCAACATGCAAGCAGTCATTAAGTGATATTCCTGACTTACATTCCTCAGAGGAAGTATCATAAACAACCCGAACCTTTGTGGTCACTGCATCCTTGCGAATGACCGCCTGGTGTGGTAAATAATGAACTTTATCAACTTTCTCTAATGCTGCTACTTGTTCTACAATCCCTCGCTCTACCTGTTCTCTGATGATAGAATCATACTCTGTCAACAATGCTGGCTCTTTCTTCAGTCGTCGTAACTGATTCTTCATTCTACCTAAGCTATTTACATAATTGTCAGTCAATTTGTCGTGGCTTTCCTTCCAGGGTAGTTTCACTGAATATCTACTACCTGTGAAAGATATGCCATCTAAACACTCCTCATGAACCTTATATTCCTCACATATACCTAACCCTTCAAAACTCCACATAGGCCATCAGCCACTCAGCAGATTTTGACTTTTCGTTTCCCCCACACAGAGACAACAGTTTGACGAGTGCAAATGTTGCTTAAAAGCTTATAAGGTCCAATAACAAAAGGTTGTAATCGATAACACCTGTAGTTTTGCCAAAAATTGGCCTTCAAATTATGTAGTTTTTACATTATATCGTCGCCATTTTTTCACGCATTTCGAAGCTGCGTGTGCTCCTCGCATACCACGAAGCAGTGCTTCCATTTGCAATTAAGAAAATTTGCAAGGAAATAAAATGCAAGGAAATAAAATTTACAAGGAAATGGCAATGGATTTTGTTGTCAGGAAGGGTATAAAAGGGATATTACGTTATTTCTAATAAATCCTAAGATTACAGCATTTTCCAAGCAAATTCGATTCAGAAAATGTCGAAAATCCTATCCTGTAAAATGGAAAATACGAAAAAACTTTGAGGGATGACGGCATGCGCCAGACTTCCATTGAAACTTGAAGATTTCCGTCATTTCCCCGAACTCCCGAAGAAATAACGAAATGTTCGTGGTTGTTGTATATTTTGAATATCTGTTCTATCTTTATAATTTATTTTTGCTTGACACAAAGTAAAATGCACTCTACGTATCCTGTGTATGGAATATCTCGTTTGAACAGCAATAGAATATTATAATCTAGACAAAAACAAGAAGACATTTGACACGCTGAATCTGCTTTATCTACAGTCATTCCTGCCAATGGTCGCGAGCTTGACAGCTAGTCTTGTCAATCGGAAAACAAGTACAAATTTGAGTTCAAACAGAAAGAAGTCACGATT